GCGAAGAGCGGGAAGAATCCCATGTTGCGTTGCAAGTACAGAACATGGGGTCCTTTGCATCGCACTCCGCGATGGGTCTCTGTTTCAGCACAACTGGCTCCCCCGATTCAACGTAAGCAGGCAGAACTTCCCATGAGTTTCGTTTAGAAAAATAGATGGTATTAGTGAATAATGGGAGATTAGCGCGTCCCCGCCCCCGCTGCCCCTCCACCCCAGTCGATAAAAACTCATCCACCATACCCACCCCAAAAGCCAAAAGTCCTTGAGCCCAACCCCAACCCCCAACCCCCTCAGCCCCCCAAGCCCCAACCCCCAAACCTCCCAAAACCCCAAACCTCCTCCCTCCCTCCCCCGTCCGTCCCATCCAATTCCCATGGCGCCGTGTAGCTCACGACGTTGGCCGCGTCCATCTCCAGCACCAGCCGCTCTGCCGCCGGGACGTCCCCCTGCCGCGCGTAGAGGTCCTGGACACGCTGAGGCGCGGGAAATCGGAAATCCCCGATTTTCCTCATCCGAAGTGGGTATTCATGGGGGCTGGGAGGGAGGGAGGGAGGGGAGGGGAGGGAGCCCAAATATGTCCGAAATAAGGCCGTATTAAGGGCCCCCTCCCCCCAGCCCCCATGAGGTATCAATTTCAGTTGGAGATCCTTTCATCACACCCAAATCTGCAGTGACATCTTCAATATTGATCACTACTGACATCTGGCATAGGGATCCTACATCTTGGTTCCTGAAGCACTCAGGAAACATCGAAATTTGGCCTGCTTCGGAAGAGGTGGGTGATTAGATTCGGCTTCGTTCTCTGCTGTTCTGAAGTGTTCGGCATTGAAATGTTCCAAGATCTCAGCGATTCGAAGGCACCAAAGACCTGCCTCAAACCTCAAATCATTCATCAATGGTAATACTGTGGATGGACGAAATCCTAAGACACCCCGGAATGGCAATTTCCCCTGGAAATACCAACAAACAATGGCTTCCCATGGTTTCTTAGGTGGTTCGAAATGGATTGCGTCCATCCACAGTACCACCCATCCCATTGTACCATTAATGTGTTCTTTTTTATGATCCATACTCCTTCCGATCTGCACAGCATTTCGCACCCACCCCCCCCCCCGGCCCCGCCCGCGTCACTCACACACCTCACAAAGTGAAGTGCGGAAAGCGCGCATTCACAAAATGGGAATGGTACACCTCCGTTTGCTTGAGGCCCCTCAAAAAACACAAAACCCGCCAAAACCCCCCAAAACCTGCCCCCCCCCAAAAAAAAACACAAAAATGGTACTCACCCCGCCAAAACCCCTGGACTCCCCTTTACCGCTTCGACCCGACCGCTTCGACCAGCGCATCCCTCCAGCAGCGCCGTGCAGCTGGCCGCGTCGGGGCGCAGCCGCGCCGCCCGCAGCTCCGCCAGCGCCGCCTCCGCCTCGCCGCGGCGGCCCGCGGCGCAGCAGGCGCCTCCGACACGCCACCACTACGGCGCCAACACTTTGTTGCAGCTGTTGACTTGCAACAGACAAAGGAACAAGGGAGCCCTTGACCCAAGGGACCACATTGGAAAAACGTGCAGTACACGTGAATGTCGAACGTATTTTCCTGCATAATGGTTGCTTGGTTGCCCGGCGAAGACGCGCCAAAAGCCCGGGGAAAGGTACTTGCTTGACGTTGGAAGGGGAGCAAAACAGTATGTTGTGCAGTTCAGTGGGGATTTCAACCACTAGACCACAATAAGCAAATTGTTAAATGTTTCCCAACAACAACCATGAAGGGGGGTTGGGGCGCTTAAGACAATTTGAGTCAAGGTCTCTAGGGGGAACCCAACCCACCAACTGGGGTTAAGCCCCCAACCTGCACAAGAACAAAAAGGCTCCGGTTGTGAAAAAGAAACATCCACCCTTCAACGCCCAGTAAAGCGAGTGGATCGAAATGAGAGAGAAACCCCCTTCGTCGCACCTATCCGCATGGTGTGGATGATGATGTCTGGCTGGAGCCGCACAGAGCCTGAGTTGCGAAATTCAAGCCAAAATGGCGGTTCTCCCTTTGCTGTTTCAACCAAGGTGAAAAGGGTAAAAACACACACGCACACACATCTAGAAAAAAAAGGAAGGACCGCCTAATTCGCAAGGAGCGAGCAGGTAAATTCAATTACCCGTGTGCTACCGACGTGGGTCTGAGACTGAGGGGATTCTTTCGGGAATCACAGCAATCGCAACCTGAAGCCTAAGGCGCGCAAACCTCTCGCGTTGGACTTTCCATGCGCCGGTGTTCGGCGCACTGGGCGCCAAAATCCTCGAATGGAGAGACCTTCAATCGCTCGAACTTCACAACATACCTGGCTTGGTCTTCGATCCCCTTTTGCTGGGAAATCGGTCAGCGGAAGCCATTGGTCGACAAGTTTGGGCCCAACAAGCCAAGGCGTCGCCTCGTATTTCAGCCACTGGAAGGCCGTGGAATGGCTTCCAGTGGACGCCTACTCCTGCGAGAGCAAACACCAAACCCATTTCTTGGGTGTTTGCTGAAAGGGGAGGATCTGTAGCAAAAACTTCCGGTTGGCCGATGTCGGAACTTGGGACCTCCGAAAGCCACACGGCTCAGACGGCTGGCTCCATTCTTGCGAGATGGGTTGTTCATCTAAGGGGTACCCCGAAAATGAGCGCGGTTCGCTTTGTTGCCCTCCATCAAGCTCCAAACAAGACCAGCTCCTATATCCACGTTCACCAGTTCTCCCTCTTCTACCTCAGCTTTTCCGCAACCAGGTGTATGTGTTTGGCAACGATTTTTCCTGAACCCCTCTTTCGCGATTTCTGGCTCCCGTCTGGGTGCCAACGGACCAACAAACAACATGTGGGCTTTTCTTGTGATGTCGACCAGTTGAAGCAAACAAAGCTCGACAGAAAGGTGCCAACTCAGACTTTAAAAACAAAAAAAAACGAGGGGGGGGGGGAACGAAGTTTTGCCGTGCAGCCCATCTCTTGAAAGAGCTGCTCCGAGGCATCCAGGTCACCCGCGCCGGCCGCGGCCTCGGGTGCGAAGTCCATTTCACCCCTTCTGCCCAAAAGAAAAGGGTCGAGATTGAACTTGGGATTGCTCTTGTCTTTGTTGTTATTGTTTTTGGTCTTGGCTAGTAAAATGCTGTATTTGGGCCATCCTTGTCAGAAACAGATTCCCACGGAGCTGTTGGGAAAATTATTCAAAGGATCCTCGAAACCAACGAAGGAAGAACACCCAAACCCCACCAAGCGAGAGACAAAGAGCCGAAGGCTACATGAAGGGAAACCAAGGATAACTCAAGCATCTCACGACGTGGGATCCTTTTGTTGGAAAATCAACATGACATCGGCTACCTGGATCTCCTGGAAGTTAAGAATTCCTACTCCAAAATTGAAAAAGTACTTTTTGGCCTGAGGACACGGGTATTTCCACTTTCGAACGGGTATTTCTACTCTTGAACGGATATTTTCACTACCATCGAAGTGTTCATAAATCAGCACTGCACATAAATGATCAAAGGCTTATTGCGTAATGTTGGCGTATTTTTTACGTACCTCCGAACGAGTCCGAACGGGTCCGAACGGGTCCGAACGGGTTCGAACGGGTTCGAACGGGTTTCGAACGGGTTTCGAACGGGTTCCGAACGGGTCCGAACGGATGCCTGAGCAGTCGGAACTACCCGAACGGGCATTTTAACACGGAGTGAAAATTATCACTCCAGCATGGAAGAAAGTACTTTTTTCTTTTTGGAGTGGGAATTATTAACTTTCAAGAGATGCAGGTAGTGAAAGGGGTTCTGAGGCTTGACATGTGTCACTTTTAGTCGCATTCCTTTCGCACGTTGTGACCTGTCCTGTGACCTGCCCACTTAGCGCACGCAGGTATCAACTCCTGACCAAGAACGGCCTCCAGCACGCCTGGAGGTTCCCAAATCTGTCCTCCCCCAATGGTTTGGTTGCCTTTGGGTGATCCAACACAGTTTGAGGATGGACAGATCATTGTCCGGTGCAGTGTGGAACCTGTAAGAAGAGAACCGGTCACTGAACCTGTACCTTGGGCTGATCCGCTCAAAATGTGACATCCTAAGCTTTGCTAGGACTCCCCTTGTGAATTACCACTTGGGCCTGGGCTGACTGCTGCTAGTCCCAGCTTAGGGGATCCTTTTGGAGGGGGCCTCCCATGGGCGTTTCTCAGCCCGCTTTGTGGAGGGTACGGACAAACCGACAGGAAGCCAACTGAACGGGTCCCTGGTTTTGAGAGACGCCCCATGGCTTACCCTCCTTTTCCATTCTCTTCAGGGATCCTTCTCTTCAAAAAATAGGCCAAACCCCTGGAAAACGGGTGGTTTCTAAAGAGAACGATGAGTGAAGAGAATGGGGAATCAAGCCTTAGACCTAGGCCTCTACCAGGTTCTGCTCACAGTCCAAAAGGCAACTCTCTGGCCCCCAAAGCGACTGAGAAGGTCCCCAGCTCGAGCCATCGCCTGCATGGCCGCTCCAAACGTCGCGCCATCCGCCTGCACAAGAATTTACCCCTTGGTGAAACATAAGGGACCCGCCAAAAGGTTTTTTTTTTCTTCTGGATGTCCTTTACAACCACAAAATTGGAATCCCCTCAAAAAGACACCCGCAAATGAAAACACACCGCTCTCTTTTGGTTCTCCTTCAATGTTGACCCCGGATTCAATCACCGTTGCGGCGTTCTTCTTGGGGCGGTTCCACCAAAAGCTGATCTGGATCAGTCCTGCGCTCCCATTCACGTGATTTGTTTTTTGGTCTCGAGCCATTTCTTCCTTGAAACTGCTCCAAGACCCCCTGAGTCAAAGGTCTCTATGGTTGAATGGCCCGAGGGCCTCCAACGGGTCCAAGGGGCCTTGTCACATCAAAGACCAGTCACAGAAAGAACCCCGAGAAAAAACAAAAAAAAACAGAAAAAGACAAAGAGACAAAAACAAGAAAAACAAACAGAACGAGCGCATCCGTTGCACGGAATTTCCGGCATAGCCTGCACCAAGCTCTTCCGCATCTCCCGCAGCACCGCCCAAATCTTCGGAACGGACTTCTGCACCTTGCGGGGTGATGGGGAAGTTGATAAGTGAACTCATGTACTCAACTGGTTTGATGGTCGCAGAAAAAGTTGATGCTTCGTTGGGTTGGATTGGATTGGGTTGGGTTGGCTTGGGTTGGGTTGGCTTGAGTTGGTTGGCTGAAGAAAAAGTTGATGCTTGATTGGGGTGGGTTGGGTTTGTGGGTTGGGTTGGTATTGGTGGATGGTTTGTTTGGTTGGTTGTTTGGTTGGTTGCTTGCTTGCTCGCTCGCTTGCTTGCTTGCTGGCTGGCTGGCTTGCTGGCTGACTTGCTGGCTGGCTTGCTTTGTTTGGATGAAGCAAAAGGTTGATCAGGAGTTGATGGTTGGTGACTGCGGGAAGTGGTTCTGGAAGAACCAAGTGTGGTGCGATCAGCCACCAGAAAAGCCTCAATTTTTGCAAACTGAGAGAAGACCAAGATGAAGCAAAACTGGCAGCACGTGTATGTGTGTGTGTGTGTGTGTGCGTCACAGCGTATGTTCACGTGTATGTTTACCTGTTGGTTTCGTTGGCTGCTTTATCGGCGATTGCTCGTGTAGATTGACATGCACTGCCGCACAGTTGTGTTATGCTCTGGCACTGATGCTGCGCACTTGAAGCAGGCGCGAATGGCGAAGATGCGTGCATTCAGTTGCCGCCTCCTCCGAGCGATGTCCAAGGCGTGACATCTGCATTCTGAGAGATGGCCGTGGGTCAAAAATACGTACCCAAAATGGAACTCTGTTAAATGGAAACGAGGACTAAAACCAGCCGTCCCCTGGTGTTTTAAATTTGATCCATACCCAGATTGGGAAAAACAAGGATGGCCTAAGAGGCATTCCCCAACCTCATCTCTGGATTGGGGAGAAATGGACCACAAAGCATGCAGCCTCACTATCTCCGCCAAGGCATCAAGCTAGGCCAATCAATCTCACTCACCAACAGGAAATACAGAATCCCCAAGTGGGACCTTCATCAGCGAGCTTTGAGAGCTTACCCCTAGAGCTTGTCATTTAAAGACCCCGGGGCTTGAACATTCTCCGTAGAACCTTGGGATGTCTCAAAACGGTTCGTCTTCCTCCCACCAACATGGAACCTGACTATGGGGTCCTGGAACACTAGTTTCCTTCCAAAGGAACCCTCTAGAGGGTTGCATGTTTGCGGACAAATGGGTAACCCTCTTTTGGAGAGCTTGAGAACCGTGGCTTTCCAGGACCTTGACGCCTCGCCAATCGTCCAAGCCCAAATCGCAACGGGAGCCTTGACTAAAGTATTGTAGGCGATGAGGTCTGCTTGCAAGCGCTGGCGCCTCGGGCATGCGTTGCCGCCAAAAGCGCTGTTCGTACAACAACGCGTGGGGGCGTTGGTGACAAAGAATGTGTAATGTTTAACAAGCAATACTAGCAACAATAACCTGAGAATATCTGGAATCATGATTCCCCTGTAAGTACCAACAAACAATGGTTTCCCGTGGTTTCAAAGTGGTGCAGGATTTTGTCCATCCACAGTATAATGCACTCTTCTCTTGTCACTAGGTGCCCTTTTGAGCATGCGGGATCCTGGCCATGACTGACTTCCTCATGATTGGCGCTAACGAACAGCAGCTTGGATTGATGGTATTTTTGGTTCACCAGTCAAACAGAAAGAACTCATCTGGGTCATCTCGTTCATTTTTCTCTCTTTTGGATTCGCCGGGGGGGTCGCTTTTTGAGGGCACCCCTCTGTTTGTGGTTTTAGAGGGAGACCAAAAGGACCACCGACGCCTTTTGGGGCGGGTCCCTTTCCAAGAAATGACGCCTCGCTGTTGCGTGAGCATCAAACCCAACGCCGCGGCGCTGGATGTCCGAAAACATCACCGTGGCCTTTCGCCAGTCGCCTGGCGTGCGACGCAGCGCTGGAGGAAAGCACACTTCGTTTGTTACATTTGTTCCAGGGGACTATGATCATGGGGTTTGTGAACGGTGGTGCGAAGTGGACTTCGCAAGCATTCAAAGTCGCAGCGAACTACGCCTTCCAGGCGGAAAGATGCCGGGGCACCCACTTCTCTAGTACGGCAGAGTCTCGACTACACCCGAACCATTTTCCCCCGTCTCTTCCTTCTTCAACCAACCTACACCCCATCTTGCTTCAAATTGTGGGGCCTTCCCCTTCTTCTTCCCCGTCTAGGTCCTCCAGTAGAGAGGTTAGAATAAGGGTACCAACTTTTTTCAGGACGTCTATTTTAGTCGGGGAACTCTCTCAACCAAAAAAGTTGGGTGAGCAAGGGCACCTAGCTGGGAGACCTTCCCCCCTCCGTTCCTTTCTCAACAAACCTACCATCTTGCTTCCTTTTGGGGCCTTCCCCTTTTCCCCTTCCCCCCCGTCTTCCCCCGTCGTTTTGCCGGGCGCGCCTGCTTTGGCCGCGCGGTCCATCTGCTCGCAGATGGGCCCCAGGCCCCCGCCCAGCTGCGCGCTCAGCGCCAGCGGGTCGGAGCCGCCCGCGCCGGAGGCGGCGAGGCGCAGCTCGGGGCCCAGGCGGAGGCCCGGCGCGGCCAACGGAAGCCTCGCAGCTTCTTCGGGAAGGACTTTCCGCGTCCGTGGGAATGGACAAATATATATATATATATATACATATATATATATACACAGAATATATATATATATAGATATGCGTGTGCTGATTTGTTTTGTTTCTGTTTTGAAAAACCTGCATGGAAGGGGGGCGCGGGGTGCTCTCTCTGCAAACCATTGACCCTTAGGCAACAAGTTGTTCTCGGTTCTTGATTTAATTTCTTTGGGGCGAGGGGGTGGGCAGAGGTTTTGGGGGGTTCGGGGGGAATGACTTTCCGCGTCCGGGGGGTGGGAATGAACAACAATATTTCTTACATATAAAAAACTGCATGAAAATGATAAAGAAATGGTTTATTGGGTATAACCCCGAAAAGTTGCGGGGGTTGGGGGGCGTGGGGGTAACCGCTGTTGCTTGGTTCAAAATGGGAAAAGCAAAAGGAAACAAAACACTTTTTTTGTGAGTACCACATGTTTGGGGGCGGTTTTAAAGGGTACCCTCCTTTCCGCGCTGCCATGGCGCCTGGCGTTCAGGACCCGGCCCCATTGAGAGGAAATCATCTTCCAGGTACCTTTCCCCGGAACTAGTCCGGGTGTTGGAAATCAGAGCGGTTCGCATCAAAAGGCGGTACTTGGATTTAGGTTGGAAATTTTGGCTGGTCGACTTGTGTGATCTCATAAAGCCACACCCACACCCACACCCACACCCACCACCCAACCCACCTAACCCACACCCACACCCAACCCACCCATCCACTTCGAGCTGCAAACGCTCGAGGCCCTCCAGCGCCCGAGGCGAAGGCGCCAGGTAGATGTCCCCTCGCCAACCATCCGACGGCGGCGGCTGAACTAAAGCGGGGAAAACTGTGCCGGCAACTTTCAACCAATTGTACCTCCAACTCATATAGAATGGGGGTCCTGGAAAGAGGACCATTTTCCTCAAAGGACCTGGTGGGTTCAATGTTGCTGAGGGTTCAAAAGGGTACAAAGGGCACACAAGGAGGCAATTGCGGTGCGGGGGTCAGTTGAAGGTGGACCTGTTGACATCAAAATTAAACAGCTCGCAGGGGTTAGTGTACGTTCCCATTTTACAGGGTCTATTTTGCGCCCCTATCTTTGAGCCACACCCACATGCTAAAACCGCTTCTGAAACAAACTTCCACCAGACTCGCCCCACGGGTGAACCAAAGCCTCTCAGAGTGCTGCTCTGCAGCATGCTCAAGTGACTCGTACCCCAAACCCGACAAAAAGGGACATACCCAGAACCATGCAAGAAAGAACGATAATACGTGCTTCCATTTAGTTAAGACCCCTGTAAAAAATAAAAATATTTTCAGTAGTGATAGATTCCTTTAAAAACCAACGAGGGAAAACAAATATATTCTTAAGCAAATGGAAGCGTGGGAATGGCCCACCCAGGCTCAGCCCCCCCCCGCCTGACATGTCTTGGACCACCCGCTCGGCACACTCCTCGTCCCTCGGCTCCGGGCCATCTCTGAGACACAAACTGCCGGTTGAACACGCTGCGTCGAGACATGTGTGCCAGTGCCGGAAACAGAACGTCTTTCATGCCGAATGTCATGTCCTGGTTCTTGTGGTATCATGTCATGTCATGCCATGCATGCATGTACGAGGGCAGGCGAGTGTGTATGCACACATACATTGCTTCACATGCGCACGCACATTTCATATCCACATATTAAATCATTACATTGATTCATGCTACATTGCCCCAAATGTTCATGACATTACGTTGCATTACATAGGAAAGCAGCTTTGCATACACCATTGCAAGCATACATGAATGCGTGCAAATCTCGCACGCGTGTGCGTAGTTGTGCGTGTTTGCATACATGCATATATGCAAGTGCAGCATACGAGCAGTAAGTCATATATGTGAACTGACAAGTAGACATACAGCAGCATACAATGGTATGCGTTGTGTTAACGCACGCATGTACGCACATAGGTGACATCATCGTCAGCACCTTCGCTTGTGTACTATTGCGTTGCATGAGGTAGCAAAACAGTACATACATTGTCTTGTTCTAGGGTTACCCTGCATGTTGTCCCCTTGCTTCATATCACATTACATTGTATTGCAGCTTTTCGCATCACGCCACATTAGTCTGTCGTTTTTGGGGGAAGTAGCGAGGCGCCTATTGGCGGCTAGCATACATTGCATAAATATCAGACACATGCATACATGTGCAGACGCCTAATCATAATTGCAGGCATATATATATATATATGTATCCGGAAAATGCCGATGCAAACAGCAAGCACTCTGCAATGCCCTAAATTGAATCAAGAGACGTCAGATCGGGCCAATATCCCTTAGATAGGGCATCGGCGCGTTGAGCAAACACGTGAAAACGAGCAAGGCTTCAGGAAAGCGGGGGCAACTCCCGGCTTCTCATGACCCTTGCTACTCGGGAAACATGGTGTCTGGTGGCCTTTCCGGGGCTAAAGGATACATGTGCAACGTACGGACACGGTCAGCGGCGAAGCGACGCAGAGAACCACGCAACTACGCAAGCGTCAAGGAAGACAGCTTTCCAGCGGAAACCCAAGGCAGGGAGCCGCGCGCCAGCAGCAGCCGGCGAAAACGCGACAAGCATCGGAGATGCCATAAGTGCAGCATCTTAACGCAGAGGCGAGCAGAGACCATTCCGGCGAAGTTGGCGACGGCCCGCGCCCTCTGGCGAGCAGAGGTGGCAGGCAGGCGCAAAAGGTGCTGGGTGTAAAACCCAGCCGCGATGCCTGTCGAGGCTCTCGCAAAAGGTGAAAACCGGAAGAAGATCCAACGAGCTTCGCCTGTCGCGCGAGGCATGCTTCCCACAAATTGGAGTGGCCAGGCACAAGGCGCGCACAGCATCTAGGAGCAACTTCGCAAACAGGCGGGTTCCTTCAAGATCAATCAAGAACCCCCACAGCCAAAGCTGTTTGAGGGAAATGAGTACAATGCTTCTTGGGCTCACTTCATTTTGGAGGACCCAAAGCGGCCCCAATGTTCAAGCCGCATCTTTGCAACCCCTTTTCCACGTGCACATGTCGGCGTGCCAAATTGCTGCCAAGCGGCATACTCCAATTTCGCCCGGCTCCGCAGGCCTTGGAGCAGATTGCATCATCAAAGCAATCAACTCTCACAGCAAAAGCTGATGGATTCTCCACTCCCACACAGCTTCAAAGCGTCACTTCAGGAAGGCTGTGCTGGCTAAGCGGTGGGGCCGGTATGAGTGGGAGGTGAGACGGTAAGCTAAACCAGCTTAGCAGGAAGCTAAGCTAACCAGACTCTCGTCACTCGTGCCTTGATACTCTGCACCCTCCAGCACCTCGTTAGCACATGAAGCTTATGCCCAAAGGTCACGCAGTCTTTCGTCGAGGAGGTGTTTCGCCATTCCACCCGATTCGCTCGAGCTCACCTAAGAAGCCATCGCCATGGTTGAGCCACGGGTGTGTCTTCTTTTTTTGGGAACTCTTTTGGTTGGTTTTAAAAGGGAAACCACCAGCAAAGCCGAAAGGAAATCCATTTTGAGAGGGGGTGAAAGTTGAAATCCTTAACGAAAAGCGAGCCACCCCCTAGGAACATGTGTTTTCTGCAGCATCAATTCAGTACGCCTAACTCGTGTATTCTCCACGGGTTGGAAGTAGGGTTTCCCTTCTGATCTTTCTTGCCCTCCGCTTCTTGGTTGAGTATGTGGAGGTAGGAAACCTTCCTTGAAAAAGGAAAAGGCGGCCCTTTCAAAACCTACCCCAGCTGCAACCAACCCGGTCGAATCGGACCACTTCTTCGGGGTTGGCCCGCTGAACCACTCAGGCTCTGTTACGACGAAACAAATCCTACGACGAAAGGGTCCACACGTCGCTTTGTCGTCATGAGAATGCCATACACATTCCCCTTTCCGAACAAAAGGCCAGGGTCGCCAGGGGAAGAGGGAGAAAAAAACAAAAAGAACATGCCATAAACGTGTCCCAGACGCCAGAGGCCAGGGAATCCGAGGGTTGAACGTCCGCACCAAACCGGTCGCTCCCTGCGGCTCGCAGGTCCCTCGGGTCCCGGCCTCGGACCACCTCCGGCGCCAGTGGCCGCCAGGGGCCGCTCTCGGAGCTCTCGGCGACAGGGGCCGCGTGCTCGGGGCCTGCGAAAACGGGGGGGGTCTCCATGCATGGAGGTTAATAGCACAAGGGCTATATACATATTGTATATATATATATATGTATATGTATAATAAATGTGTATATATATATTATAATAATTATAAGAATAATAAAAATAATAAAAATAATAATAATAATAATAATAGTAATAATAATAATAATAATACATGCGCGTGCACTCCATGAATCTTGGAGGTTTGCTTTAAAAGTCTGTAATGGGTTCCCTGGGGGAACCTGGTTGAGAATAAGGGTGCCCTGATCAGGGCTGGCGCTCGCCTTTGGCGTCTTGTTTCATATGGATGGCATTTTGTTGTTCAAGAGCGGGTGTGAGGGCTTCCTTATGAAGAGGAGTGAATTCACATGAATTCGGTGAACTCACCTGGGTAAACCAATGGCCTTTTCTACCAGTCGAATGGCTCTTGGCCCGCCATCCCAGCGGAGAGGTCGACTGGCAGTCGGCCGACCGCAGTTTTTGTTGCAAAGAGAAGTTCAAATGAGCCGCGGTCCGAAACATTCCGAAAGTTACAAACGTTACAGGCTCAGGTTCCGTCCTCCTAGCTTTTGTAATTCAACATTTGAGCTGGTCGCGTGCCTCACATGGCCACGGACCCCTATGTAGGGGGCAGGGGGGACCGCCACATATACATTTAAGCTGCGGCCACAATCCTACCGCACCCCCCCCCCCAATATACATAGAAATCCGCAACTGACGGGTTGCTATGTGTGCAAAGTGGGGTAATTCCCCGAACTGACGGGTTGCCTTTTGGAAAATCCTATTTTAAAAAAACAAAAAGAAAACAAAAAAGAAAAAACAGAAAGGGATCAGACCCAAAGGAAGTTCCGTCCAAATTGGTTCACAGTAAGTACCGTTCGAAAAGTTTAGAGAGTCCCCTATCGTTTTCCAGCGTTTGGTCTGTACAAAGGTATCGTTTTTTTGAGAGTCCCCTATCGTTTTCCATGGTTGCAAGCACCTTGAGCTATATGGATGTCCAAGTGCAAACTACTTTCATTTTCCGTAAATTCTGACCCGCTTCAAATGGCCGATGTCCTTCACGGAAAACCGGGTGAGTCCTTCTCGGGGTATTCGTTCTGTTGCGCCAAATGGCACCAGGGAAAACTCCCTTTTGCCCGGGCCAAGTGGGTCTGTCTCCCTTTTTGTGAGGGTGCTCCTGTTGGGGCGTCTATTGGGAAGCAAAAGGAAAACCACGATGTTTTTCTTTTTTTGGGGGGGGATAAGAAAGGCGCACCGAAATGTTAGGGGAGCTTCCAGGAATTCCTTCATTCACACGTTGGGTTGGTTGCTACTTGGGCGCAACTCCGAGCCACAGGATTCGGAACCGCTGTACCTCAGCTCCATCATTTGTTGCTTGATGCTGGTCCATATTCAGTTAACTTTGAAGCGCAAAATTATGTCACAAGAAACCCCGAAAGGGTCAAAAGGTCGAAACGCCGACTTCAATCTAACTTAAGCCCCTTGGTTTCCATCAAGGACTGGCAGGGGCGTCATCAGCCACAGACCAACTCGGCTTCCTCCAGCCAAAGCCGAGCGGTCGCAAATGGTCGCAAGTCGACTTACTTGGTGGGAAGGGCTCGGTGAACCAAAAGCGCATGCCTTCACGGTGTCGGGGGCACGTACAAAGGGAAATTAATATTAAGGGGCATGCTGCTAGCTGCTCCCAGCGACACCCCTGACCCAGTCCCACCAACACTTCTGGGAGGCTCAGTGGCAATTCCGTGCGACGATGGAGCTCCATGCGTGTCCATCCGTCACGCGTGGCCCTTGACTCGCGCAGCTCGAGCTCATCACTTGGCTTCAGCTCAAAAGGAGCCGGCTCCGTAGTTGTCCGTTGGCTGCGGTCAGAGAAGCGCGAAGGAACTGGATGCTGGACAAGCTTACGTAGCTGACGACAGCTGTCAAGAGTTGCGTGCAGACCGCGTGGGCCAGCCGAGGGCTCAGGGAGGACAAGGAGATGTGGTGGCTGCAGTTGTGCAGCTAGCTTGCAGTGCGTTGACAACGCAGAACGGCCTGGTGTTCTACGAGATCCGCTGACTTTGGCAGGTGGACACAAGGGACAGCACACCCGTACCGCCAGACACACCTGAGTCAGGTGACTCTGGTGGTACGGGTGGCCTGACCACACAGAAGGCGCTCATCTGCTGCGCCGTTTCGAACATCTTCAGCTCACGAATTCAATGGAGCTCCTTTACTTGATATCAAAGGCACCAAGTGCGGCGAAACCAGTTCCTCACCCGATCTCCCAGGCCTAGCCCCAACGCCCCACTCAACTGCCTCTTTCCCCTTTTCTCCGCAAACTCAAACTCCAAAAGCCCTCTTTCCCCCCAAAATCCCCAAAAAGCAGGCGGATTGTAGTGGTCACAACATAGACCCAACCCTAAGTGACCCCATCCCCTACCGCCGACCTTTCCGCAAGCACGCCACGAAGAAGCCCTCGTTGGAGCCCAGCAGCTGTGGCCAGAGCCGCAGGTACGGCGCGGCCGTCTCTATGCCCAGCCTCGTGAAGGGAGGGAAGGAACCGTCGAAGCATTTCGGAACCGGCGAACCACGACCATAGTGCGAGGCTTCGCACTTCCTCGGTGATTCCGATCCCGATGTTGCCATGGAAACTGATGAGGGGGGGTTCTGAAGTGGACCATGTACTGTATCAGGTACCAAGTTTCTGGTGGGGTCCACCTTAGTTGGTCTTTGGTTTGTTGACCTCCTCGGAAACAGTTTTTGTTTACCGCAAATGGCGCCGCACTGGGCATGCCACAACTCCAGTTGGACGCGAACTCTGGAAGTGCACCGGCGCTGGGAAGGCGTTCATGTCCATCCCCAAAACAAGCCCACATGCGTCTGTCTTTTTCCAGGGGACACCCCTACATGGCTTCGGTGTTCCCTTTCCTCCATTTGCTTGAGTCCCCTGAACAAGAAGAACATGTCCAGCAGCGACAAATTCCCTTTAAAACCAGGGGAGCAAAACAAAAAAAGACTCCTTCACCAAATGAAAGCCTTCTCTCTCTTAACCGAAAACACACAAAACGAAACCGAAACGGCATTCCCATCCCCATCCAACTCCCGGCCTGGCGCCCACGTCGATCAGCTCAACGCGCTCCTCGGCCAGCAGCCGCGCCAAGACCGCCTCGTTCTCCTCGCAGGGATCGACACCCAGCCTGCAAGCTCGAAATGGGGTCAAAATAAAGCCAGCAGGAATTGGACCGCAGGTTTTAGTCCATGCTTCCATGTACCAGGGTTCCATTTTGGGTACCCTTTTTTGACAGCCAAATGGGACTGGACCAATTTCTCCAGAAGGAGAAGTTTTTGTAAGGTTGGACCCCAGAATGATAGTTCTCCTTTTGGCTTCCCTTCAAAAATCGCGAAAAACTGGGCACCCTCCAAAAAAACAGACCTGCAAGTTGCCCAATTGAGGCTTCCTAAACTGTACCCTCCAAACGAGACTGGGCGGCTGATTTGCCCAAGCTGTTTCGCACATTTCTGCCTCAGTGTTGCCACCCCAACGCCGGGCACCGGGGGGGGGGAAGGGGTTGGAAATGCGGATGACTTTTTTTTTTGCGGTAAGAACGGATCAAGCAGAAACTCCTACGAAAACCGGATGGCTGTGGCTCAACAATGCGTACCCAGAGTGGCTTGCCCTGGTAAATGGAACCAAAGACTAAACCCTGCGCAACCCCTCCTGTTTAATTTCGAGCCACACCCGGATCGCCAGGTTTTGTTTCTCCGTTTTTGCATCCGGCGACTTTTGCTTTGAGCTGGGTGACTTGCTTCAGTCTTATCAGAGGCTCCTCATTCGGACCTAGAGTGGTAGCCACGAAACCGGCAGCGCGGGGGGGAAAAATTGCACCCCAGACTTCGGGGAAGATTTGAGGACGAATCTCAAGGAAACCGAAATGTTGGACATCAGAAGTCTGGGATGTATGTCCAACCATTCTTGCGGGCTTCCCTATTATTCAGAGCCATATGGCCTGAGGTCCATATTGAAAGTGTCCAAGATCTTTGTTTTAATGACCATCCCAACGGAATGTCCCTGTTGCTTTTTACAGCCAGTTCGACTCTGGTCTGTCGACGAACCCCGCCGACTTCCGATGTCAGTCCTCGGAGTTCAGTGTGCAGGTGGAGTAGACCAAGACACCTCCCCCGCCTCGGATGAAAGAGTGCAGTCGAGTCGAGTGCTGGGAGGCGTTCATGAACGAATGTTGCAGCGCATGAGGCTGGATATGGTCAGAATGCTACTTGGTAGCATGAACCTCTAAACCAAGTTGTGTTTTCTCGACAATGCATAGTGCTATAAAAGCGGCAGTCACACCATTTGCCTGCCAAGCACCACCCCAACACCCCGACACCCCCGTAGCCAACGCACCCTCTACTATCCAATGGCGGCCACAAGGTCAAACCAGAATTGTCCAACCCAAAAAAAGACACTGGCAACATCCTCTGGCCCGCCCAAAGAGCCCAGGAATGTCTCCAACAGCCCCATCTCGGAACTCCTACCTCCCCGTACTTTTCCAGGAACCTGCCCCAAAAAAGCCCCAAATCCGACACCATGTGAGGAACAATCGGTCAGCAAAGCCAGCCAAGACGCACAAATAGCACGCATTTGGGGGTTTCCAGGAATGGGTGGGCCACAACTGGGGTTCCATATGCGCTAAATGATTGTTCCTAGATCTCATTTGGAGTGGTTGAGGCGTATTTATTCCCTTCGTCCCCAAATTCCGGGACCCCTTTCTTTCTTCCTTCCTTCCTTTCTTGCTTCCTTCCTTCCTTTCTTCCCTGCCTTCCTTCCTTCCTGCCTTCCTTCCTTCCTTCCTTCCTGCCTTCCTTCCTTCCTTCCTTTCTTTCTTTCTTTCTTTCTTTGCTTTCTTTGCTTTCTTTGCTTTCTTTCTTTCTTTTTCTTTCTTTCTTTCTTTCTTTCTTTCTTTCTTTCTTTTGTTTTTGCTGTGTTTTTTTTTCTGGGGGAGAGGGGACCTTCAGCGTCCTTGAAGTTTCGCTTTCCTCCCAAAAAACCCCCCAGACACCCCCCCCCCCCCGAGACCCCGAGAAGAGTCCGACTTCGCGCGCCACGTCCCAAGCTTCGAGCGGCGCAGCAGGCGCCAGCCGCTCCGCAGAAGGCCCCACTGCAGCTCCGCGTTCCTCGCCTTCAGCGCCCCGTAGCCCGCGCCCTGCATGCGCTGCAGCACCTGCGAGCGCGGAGGCACCGGAGGCGCCGCGCGAGGCACCGAGAGGCCAAGAGCCAGTCCAAAACCGGAAGGAAACGAGGAGAAAAAGTATCACGGAGAATGCGTTTGAAGGTGGCAAAAAGACATCCCCTTTTTGCCGACTTCCGGGTGCAACCTGGTCCAAACAAATGTCTCCCCGGAATGGGTCTGGAGAAAGGAAATGTCCTTAGCGAGTGAAGGGTTCTCTCCAGGGAACAGAGCCGACCGCCCATTGGCCGAAAGGCCAATTCCCGAAATAGTTTTGATCCTGGAGCTGGGTTTCCATACCAATAGAGGGGTGGTGAGAACTGGAAGGCAAGATGATTTTGCTCTGTGTGTGTGCGCACGCGCGTGTATTTGCTTGGCACAAGACTTCGGAGCCTGCGCAAAGGCGTTAAAGTGTTTTCGGCTGCCTTGATACGTCTGCAAAAAAGGGGAATAAACAGAAAGAGAGAGAGAGAGAGAGAGAGACAGAGAGAGAGAGAGAGAGAGAGAGAGAGAGAGAGAGAGAGAGAGAACCATGTGTTTTGCAGACGCCCTTGGTCTCAAGGGGACCAAACATACGGTTCAAGGGCACATGCTTTTGCAGACCGGAGACAAATATGGTTCAAGGGGACCAAACATATGGCCTGCGCCCTTGGCGTCTGGTCTCTCTCCCACTCCCTCGTGCCTCCTTGTGCCTTGTCAAGTTGCCCTCGGCGCTGCAGGGCGCGTCCAGCAGCACCGCGTCGAAGCAACTCGGCGCCAGCGCCCCCAGCCGCCGCCCGTCCTCCTGAAAGACGCGCGCGGAGGCGAAAGGAGCCCAAAGTGAGTGCTTGCGCTTGAGCATACCCCCTACTCCAAATCTTGGTGGCTGTTGACTCCCCTGCAAAAAGTTTAACTTCTTGGGGGTTTAGTGGAAAACACCTTTTATTTCCCAAAAAGACAAAGCCTAAAGATCCAACCCAATAGCAGTCAAGAAATACCCTCTTTTTTCAGGGTATCATGTCGACCCTCTACTAAAATAGGAGGTATTTACCATGAAAAACCAGGTTCTCCCAAAAATGCCCTGCAAACGTGGGTATTTTGAGTAGGGGGTATGACCTGAATAGATGCGCCTTTGTCGGAACCAAAAGTATGGTGCGTACAAAGGTTGGTTCGTTCGGCCTTCGGCTGTCGCTAACAGCCGCGAGGTGTCCTAGGTTGCTGTCAGGAGGGTCTTCTGTAAACATGCATCACTTGGATTGAAGCCGCAAAGAATGCATCCTGACTTCTCGTTGAATTCATGTGGTCGAAAAATGTCGGTATCTTTCAAGGAGCCCTCTCACTTTGGGAGGTAAAAACCCACCAATCCACCAGGTTGATTCGTTCGGACGTAACATTAGGCGCAAAATGGGCGGCTTCCTCACACAGCCGAACAGCTTCATTGACTTTGAGCGCCTGCAGGATGAGGCAGCGATCCGAGGCACCTGCGAAGGAGCAGCGTTTCTCACTGCCAGCTCGACGTGTGAACACACCAGTCCCTCTTTGCGGACGACTCGTTTAGGGTTGAACCCCAGTTTGCCCAACCCCGATCATTGATCAAACTGCCCTGTCATGTGTGGCCAAAAGCCCTCAAACAGGCGAGCCATGGCTCATCATGGCTCTCAATGAAAGAAACCCTTTGTCCTTGCCCGCACCTCAAGCAACAAGAAGAACACATAGACCATGACCAGAAACCATCTGATTCATGCACATCCAGCCAGATCATTCAACATGGAAGGCATCGAAAGTGGTCCCAAAGGCAACCAGCCACGAGGAAGCGGGGCCCCTCACTGTGGCAAACACAAACATGGGTATGGGTGGCTAGTCTTTTGTTGAGGCTCGGTACCCCTCTGGGTTTTAGAGGAAAACCACAAGGAAACCACAATTTTGGGAGGTACCCTGACAAAAGACACATCCGTATGATCTTTATTTGGGCAGGGACATCATTCGTGTGGGGATTTATGTCCACTTTGCAAAGATCAAAGGGCCCACTTGACTCAAATGGGATTGTCGGGTACTAGTAAACTATCTCATGATCATAGGAGAACTTTGGCTGCAATTGTTCAGCCCCCCATAGGGCGGAAAGGGTTCCTTCCCCCTAAAATGACAAGAGTCTCCTTTGGCTTCCCTTAAACCCACCCATTTGGCAAGGTCTTCCCACTCGCTCGCCGAAAGAACCCCCGCCTGACTTGACCAGGTTGCAGCGGAGGACTTGCGCCCGCTGCGGATCCACCTCGTTAGCCACCAGGAGCCCGTCGCCTGGCGAAGGCGAGCTCCCCTCACGTTACACCTCCGAAGTCTTTTCACAAAGTCGGACTAGAGTCAAGCTCAACAGGGTCTTCTTTCCCCGCTGATTACCCCAAGCCCGTTCCCTTGGCTGTGGTTTCGCCAGATTAATCCATTCATGCGCGTCACTTATTAGATGACGAGGCATTTGGCTACCTTGGAGCTGGATGGATGGTTTCCCCCGTAGATGCCAAATGGTTTCCTGTGGTTTCAAAGTGCGAAATGGATTTCGCAACCATCCACAGTCATAGGTGTCCTTTTAAGGGGAAGTAGATGGATTTCCCATGATAGATAAAAAAAGCCACCAGGAAAACCACCAGGAATCGCCCTCATGGTGTTTTTTTTCGAGCAAAGCAAAACCAAAAAGGACGGACCTATGTCCACAGTCCAGTGACAAGTCGATTCGAGCCTTCCAGGTTCAGCGCCAACTGCGTGGCCTCGCAACGACGTCGCACGAACCCGACGTCGGCCCGACGTCGGCCCCGATCCTCGGTTTCCCCGAGCCGACCGTGGCGCTCGGGGAACCTTTGGTTTGGTGATTTGGCTGGGGCTCAAAAAACCGGAATCCCAAAATGGGTCAAGCCCTGGTAAGTGGAACCATGGACCAAAACCTGCGGTTTGCCCCTCCTGTTTAATTTTGAGCCACACCCATTTCTTTGTTGGTTGCTTGCTTGCTTGGTTGGCTTTCCCTCGGAGGTTCCCTAGACCTCCACTCCTTCGGGGTGCGGGGATGGTCCAGTCTGCTAGAGAAATGTTCAGGTGTGTTCCCCGGAGTTTATAGAGGCCTTACCATAATCCTCATAAGAACCAGGTAGTAGAACCACCTACTCGCATGGCTAATGTTTGCGGAACTGGAACGGCCAGGACGGGTTCATATCGGAGACCCATTGGTGGACATCAAGTTGCTTACTCTCCTGCAAAAAATCGCATGAACCCGAAAACATTCCCCTTCGGGGGGGGGGGGAGAAACACCGCTTTGGGTTCCACGTAAAAAATGCAGGAAGAGTACGGGTGTATGTCCATCAACCATGCTAGGCTTCTCCACTAAGATTCATGTCACACATTCTCGGAATGTGCAGAGATCCAAGCGCACACCGCTCTCAGAAAAGTGAGGGTAACGAAACCGTATTCCTTGCTCGCCGGCCTGAAGGAAGAGCTCTTTTCATTGGCGAAACCTTCATGGCCAGGCTACTAGGGGCTGGTAGATTCGGACTTTGACCAACGGGAAAATTGACAACCTGGAGTCTCCATGACCCTTAAAAAATGGGGTCACCCAAAATTAAGAGGTCATGGACCCATTTTTGAGGGGTCATGGAGACTCCAGGAAGACCTTCGTCAACACCCCACCAACCCCCACCCCAAGGAGTTGAGCAGTTTAGCGGACTGGCGGACTCCCAGATGTGTCCAGGTGGCCTCCCCTTTTTGGAGAGCGCTTTCGCGGCGTTTGATGAGTCCTGCTCAGGGGACCGTGCCCACGTCATGTGTGTATATATATATATATAACTAATATAGAATGCTTGAAGTGATGGAGAGATAACAAAGGACTTCTCTTTCTTATCTATTTTTTACTGTTTCCCAGGATATGAACTCATGAAGTGAAAAGGTATATTGGAGAAGTCATATGAAGAAGAATAAAGGCAACTTCTAAAGTGAAGAGATATCTTATGTAACTTCTAAATTTGGAGGTTATAATGTTGGGAGATGCATGTCCTTTCTCCAAATTCCCTTTCTCTTGCTGTGTAGTCTATATCCTCAGAAATTGAATGGTATTACACACTGTCCTTACAACTCCATTCCTCTCTTCGCTCGGGAAATGCTTATTAATAATCTATCTCTTTCTACCTCCATTCAATTTCTGGAGTTCCTGTCACTATGAAAAACTCACGATGGAACGGTCCATCCTCTCTTCGCTCGGGGAATGAAGTGACGAGTAAAGGGAAAGTGATAGAGTGAGGATAGGTGACAGGAAGGACAGGATACAACCGTCTAACCGTGATGACGGGAGAACTGTCTATAGAAGAGCTATTCCTTACCCGTCCTCTGGTTACGTCCCATATCCCTGTCTCCACTCATCTCTGAGATGTAACCTGTAGGAACTTCTGGGATTTAAGATGTACCAAAGAAGCGACCTCAGAGATAGAGCGCTAATGCGGAATAGACGACCCAAGGAAGGCGATGCAACGTGTACCCGCTCTCTGTTCGCTAGTCCTTGTGTGTCCCGTCCCTTTTGGACGTTGGGACGGGGAGAACGAACAAAGTGAGTGAAAGGACCAGAGATGAGAGGAGGAGGTACATTGCGGTTACATCTCCAGAGCTCTATCACATTGGCGGCTATTAGCTGTTACACGGTTTAAAAGCTGAGGAAAGAAGAAGTGTCACCATGTAACCGCTAATCTCCCATTATCATTCATCTCGACATTGAAATCTACAAAGATAGGATATGAAAAGGAACCTACAAAATATCATTGTCTTTGTATGTTCCTTCTTTTCTCTATTGATATCTTCATCACAGACAAGTATATATATATATACATGTATATATATATATATAGACGTACGAATGTGTGCATATATTCAAACCGAGAGTACCTTTGGCTCACATGTTGTTGGCGGGTGCTTCGTCATTGGCAGCCTCACAGGAGGGTGGGCAAAGCATTGCTTCACTGTCAGCGGCGACGGTTTGGATTTGTTTCCCAAAGCCCGGGAACCCACTTGCAGTCTCGGGGTGGTTCCACCAGGAACCTGTGAGGGTAGAAACTGGGCGCCTCTTGGCCTTTCAAAAAAAAAAAAAAAACGGGGAGCGGGGGGGCACTCGCCATGCCCATTCGGTGTCCGTCTTCGAGGGGTCCCAAAAATCCATCTTCCCTTTTCGCCGCCCAAAATGGGAGGTCCCAAATTCCAGTCCATCCCAAAGAGGTCTCAAAACTGGGCATTCCGCCCTCGGATCCCCCGCGAAAAGTGACGAACTTTCCGTGGGACACAAAGCTCAAAGCCTAGAGAGCCGGATCGCCTTGGAGCCGGGGGCGGCACAGAGGTCCAGGCACCGGGAGCTGGGCTCGAGGCCGCAGAGTTTCAGCACCTCAGCTCGGAGCTCTGGCTCGAGCCGGACGGACGGAAACGAAAAGTTATGATCTGAATTCGGCGGGGGTCAAACCCAGTAACCTTCGAAAAGGATTCTGTGTTTGACAAAAAAACATGTTGTCGCTTTTGGTTTTGTGGGCCTGCGCTGGTAATAGGATCGACTCAGATGCGAAGATCGCCTGCGCTGCGAGAACGGCGCCGTGCCCGTAGCTTTGGAACTTTCCTTCGACGTTTGCAGATCACTTCGGAGTGTGTTGCTCCGTTGGCGCCCGGCAGAAATCCGGAAAAGCACGACACGTTGTCCCGCCTCTGGCGGGCTGCTCGTTTGGAAACGCACGCTTGGCTCACGACCTGATTTTGGAGTGTTACGAGCTCACCGCTTTGGGTCACGAGCTGATGGGCGGCCTACCTTCAAAAGCGCGAGACGCCCGAACCAGGGTAATCCACATGTTTGGAACTGATGAAACCCGTCAGACTTTGTTGTTCTTGTGCTAGCTGTATTTTTTTTTTTTGGGGGGGGGGGGCTTTGCTGGAAAGTCCCGTGTGGCCAAAAAACAAAGGAGGGCGCCCTTGAAGGGGGGTTCCCCTCGTCGGGTGGTGCCTCCAAAAAACGAACAGCTCCCTTGGGATTCCGCGTTGCCCTTGCCGCATGGAACCCCCCAAAAGAAAACAAATAGAGGAACCCCCAGTCAGATCTCATGTGAATGGATCCGATGGGAGGTCTATTGGACTTGCGTTGAGGGGTTCACTGTTACAACCAAGATCTTTGCCAATGGCACATATTCCAATGACTATCAATCAACCAACCAGCCTGGATGAAACAAAACGCGAAGGACCTTCCTGCCAGGGCTCGTCCTACAAGGGGAGTACCCCTCATACCCTTATGTTCCTTGCCAATGGACGTGAGGCTGAGGTTCAGGGACTGTGCAAATGGGCATCGTGGCCTGTGATACTGAGTGGTCAAATCGCATCCAAGGATGTCATGGGTATACTATATTATATATATATATGTATATCTATATATATATATATATACATATATATATACATGTATCATCAGAAACATCGCCAGTCTGATTAAATGTGACCAATATGCCCTATCCCAGGGGCTGGCCGAACAGGCATAGTGGTAAAGTACCATCATAACAGTTTCCCCGGTTGAATCTTTCCAGTAAAATCTACCTTAATCCCACGGAATGGCGGCTCATCCTCGACCATCCCCTTCCTTGTTTCAAGCATGCATAAACCGGGTTTCCGCATGGCTCAGGGCTTCGGCTCCGCAAAGCCTACGACATACTGTGGATGGACGAAATCCTGCACCACTTTGAAACCATGGGAAACCATTGTTTGTTGGTATTTACAGGGGAATCATCTTTCCGGGGTTTCTTAGGTGGTGCAGGATTTTGTCCATCAACAGTATGGAATCATCGCACATGATTCATGACCTTCCGATCGAGTGCATGGGCCAAACAGTCTGAGCTTTTTATTTAGCACCACGGCTCCAAAGTTGAAGGCCAGGAACTCGGGAAGTGAGGTACTCGTCACAAACAAATAGTCAAGCCAACCGTTGGGGGAGACACCTCGAGGTCAAGCGAGTCACCCCTCAATGTCAGAAAAAGTCGACCATCGACCAACAAAGCTTCGCAGGGTCGCAGCTTGGCTAGCAATTGTGAGCCTTGTCCATGTGGGAAAAACAGAGGGCTCGTGACTCGGTTCTGTGTCTGGACTTCTGGCGCTTGCTTGCTTGGGCTGATAAGGGAGAACGGGCCAAAGCTCCCTTGAAAGTACTAAAAAAACATGCCTCACCAGTATCCCCGCTGCTTGGCTTCTCTGAAACCTCCAGCCTCTAACCTCCCAGAACCAACCCCCCCCCTCTTGCACCAAACCTTCTCTTGTTTTCACCGTTTTCCCTCTAGGTCCAGTAGAGAGGATAGAATAAGGGTACCCTTTTTCTGTAGTCTATTTTAGTGGGGGAACCCTCCCCAAAAAAAGGATACAAGGGCACTACTGGGGGGGACCTAGCCCTATCTTTGACCCCGCTCGCCTGTCTCTTTTCCCGCGCTGGCCTCCACCGGCAGCATCGAGCTCAGCTCCTGCAGGTAGATCTCCCCGCTGTGGTGCTCCCGCCAGCCGCTGAGCTTCTCAGACTCCTCCTGGCGCGCGCGCCAGGCGGCGCCAGGCGTTCGGCGTGGCGGGCGCGCGTGGCGCGGAAAGGGTTGGACGCCGGTTGGTTGGCACATACCTTTGGGTGCATTTTTGGGAGGATTATGAGTGGTTCACCCCCCTTGGGAGGATTTTATGCGTGGCCTGCCTAGCCAGCCAACATCCAGAGACGAGAAGTGATCTCAAAACCAGGGGATTTCCGGGTTGCTTTCATGTCGCTCGTTTTGTTGCGTGAAACGAACCCCCCCCCCATTCTGACACATGCAAAGCTGATAGGACGGCCAGTTCACAGTATGAAGTGCTCAATGAAACCCGGCAATCGTTGGGTGGTGAATGGCTGTACACCCTGTTCGGTGCGTGAGAAGCAGTGCAATTCACAAGCAGACCGCTCACAACGTACCCTTAAAACCGCTCCTGGGAGTCAATCATCCCCCTATTGATCCTCCTCTCAACAAACAACCACCTTTCGCTGGCTGATGTCTTTAGAAAACATCCACAAGGGCCCCCCCCCCCCCCCATTTTTCAGGAAGCACGAGTGACCACCCATGGGCTGTCCAGGGATTGCGCCAGAGGCTCAAATCCCAAGCCGCCGGCGTCGAAGCGAAGCGATGTTTCTTCCAACAGCCCAACCAAAGCGCAGCGTCAAGCAGCGACCATGAAACCAAAGGCCACCGACAGCCCCAAAAAGACATACTGATCATACTGTAGAACCCTGTAAAAAAAGGACAACAAAAGACACATAAAACGACCGGAGAAGAAAAAAGCACCACAAAAGATACAACAATTCAAACACACACACACACACACACACACACACACCACAGCCGGCCCCCTTCCGGACGCCCCGAAGATCGCCTGGCAGAGGAAGCTGTCCGCCCCCCAGGGCGCAGGGCTCGGGCGCAGGCCCTCAGTGTGAAGCCGCCGCAGCAGATCCTCGCCGACTCATGCGACGCTCGACGCTCGACATGCGCGACGCAGCTCGAGGCTCGGGCGAGCCGAGTTTTTCAGGCGACCCGCCGGTGGTTTGCACTTTGAAGTGTTTGTTGTGTTTTTGATGTTTGAGTGAAAACACACTTTCGTGTGTTTGTTTTGGTATTTTGTTTTAGGGTTATGAAAACTTGACACACTTTTTTAGAAACTCGGAAAACCCTGAAGTTGAAAAATTCCCCTTGGTGCATGACCATCCCTAGCTTCCCTTTAAAGGATTCGCGGGATTGGTTTGGAGTGGCGGGACTCCGTTAAAGGAAAACCCTTAAGGATGGTTGGGGTCATTCTCTCACAAGCAAGTCCCTCAAAGAACAACCCTCAGGGATGGTTGTGGTCATTCAGTAAATGAGAAAGTAGTTCGTTCATTCCCTTGCTGCATGACCATCCCCAGCTTCACTGGTCAGCTTTTTCAAGTGGCTTGCAGCTTTGTGGTTTGGCGGTGGAGGGGTAAACCCATTTATGCTCAGGGGTTCAAATCCCAAACCGCCCATCCGAACCACCAAGTAAGGGTAACCTGATCATGATTAAACCACTCAAAGAGGGGAAACTACTCTTGATGACTTTAAGGTTGGCAAAAACTTGGGGTTTGTCTTGAGGGTAGGTGGTGTTTCAATCCAGGTGTTGTTTTGTCTGGAATGTGAGAATTTGCTTGTGCAAAACACTTCGGTGAACTTCCAAGCTAAATCAAGCAACCTTCACAACAACCCCCCCCCCCAAAAAAAAAAAAAAAAAAAACGAATGGCAGAGGCAGCTTCTGTGCAAAAAACACACCTTTAGGCAAACCGGAAGCGAATTGAACGGCGTCCAACAGGGATCATTAAAGTCACACCCGCAAAATGATCCTCTAAATGCTGGCTTTCCACCGGGTCCCAACATGTCTTGGCCGCGCCTCAAAATGCAACCCATTTTTGGGAGACCCAGTCCATTCCGTTTCTTGGCAGAACGAGTGAATCAGTGGACCAGCCATGGTAGTTTCCTAGGTGAGGGGATCCCGAAACGATTCATTCCCTCACTCAACTTTCAAAAAATCATCACAGGGTTCCGCATATGTCAGGTCGTCAACATGTCTGTTCCTGACAAGGGCATGAATGCAGAATTGTCGGCTGAGCACGGACTTTTGACAACCCATCATATGTCCTCCTTCGCACTTTAAACATAACCCTTTGGTCACAAGGTGAGTTTTGCTGGGACTTTGGCATGGAGAACCATGCTGGCGCCTCTGGAGGTCCGGTAGGTTTCCGGTGGTTTGGGGTGTGGGACCCCTGGGTCTCAAAATCCACCCACCCGAATCCTCGTTTGGGATGCTCTAAAGGTCGCAACCATGATTCACCTGCCTGTGAAGGCTCGGCCTTCGGAACCCACATCGTCCCTCACGGATCAAGAAGCCACTGAGCTCATCCGGCCTTCATTCAGAATCAACTCCCAGCCTTCCCAGGCGCATGCAGCCGCCTCCCGGACTCCCGGACTCCCGGCCCAGTCGCAGCACCTTCCCACGTCCGACCTTCCGACCTTCCGCTTCCGCGTCGCCTTCCGCGCCTGCGGCGGCTTCCGCCGGTTGGCCCGCAGCGCCCGGACGCCGCGCCGGCGCGGAGGCGGGCCTCCGCGCCAGGCGCGCAGCAGGCGCCGCAGCGCCAGGCGCGCCGCCAGCGGCCCCAAGGCGCTGGCCACCTCAACATCGCCGTGGGTGGTGACTTAGGTGGTGACCCAAGGTGGTGACCCAAGGTGGTGACCCTGCAATAAAAACCTTGGAACAAGAAAAGAAAAAAAGAAGAAAAAACATAACATGAGTCAAAATAAGTAGGAATGAGGGTGTAATCTCGGGGTGTATTACATGTTTTTCTCTGAGAAAATCGAGCCCTTACCTGAGAAGTCAACGTAGCATGGTTATAGCTTACTTGAATCCAACCCCAGTTACCCTTACCATGGTTACAACCTTACTTGTTAAGTTTGGCTTGGAGTTGGCATTTCTTCGTTTGGCTTGCCCTCCCCTCAGAACGGCCGGAAGCTCAATGGAACAAACGGTGTGACCCACGTCGAAGGGCATGGGCCCCGAAACAAAGGGCAGCGGCCTTTGATTCTTGGCTGAAAGGAGCGTAGGGGGATCAGTCGGTCCAAGGACATCAAACAATGCTACCCCAAGAGGGAACAAGCTCTTGCTTTCTCCCGTGTTTTCTGCACCACAAGTCGGAAGAAAACGGGAGGTGCCTTGGCTCTGATTATTCTGAGGGTAGGATGGTCCTAACCTCTCGACAATCCTGGCCTTACAGCTCGTGAAGCTATGGAGCGATCGGGCAGGTTCATGTATCTTACCACGGGTTTCCACAAAAGCGGTCTATGCTAAGCACATGCTCTCGAGGGGTGCACCAACCACGCTTCACAACAGCTTTCCATACCATGACAAAAGTTGCTCCTACCCAAACACATGCCTCTGCTTTTCTTTGACCTCCATTTGAAATTTCAAGGTCACTCCGTTTCAGGCGCCCTCCCCACACACGGACGCTTTCGACGCATGCGCCGAGCATGCGACTCGAGCGATCTAAAAGTCGCCTCCGCCACATAGGGCCGCGGGAGCTCTGGCCACTTCCGCAGCCTGCTCTGTCGGCAACTGGTCCACTCCAAGGGAAACTTGGGGTCTGGCCGAGAAAATGGGTGAAGACAGATGCGTTAGAACGCATAGGTATATACTTGAGGGTACCCTTTGCGGGGTTGGTTTAAAGGGATACAGAAGGGAAACCGCCACTTTTGGGGGGCCCTTCTATTTTGGCACACAGCCAATATCCCAATTTGTCTGGCAAGGGAATGTGCCATCTACTGTCACCCCGGTGCAAGCGAACTTAGGGCAGGAAATTTTGATACCTTGGCAAAAAGACGACCCGGACTTTCCCTTGGGAGAGCGGAAACCGCTCTAGCGGAGACCATTCTCCTTCTCCGAAATGGGACAAAGAAGCATGGCTCATCTTGAGAGTAACCCTCCGCCGTATTTCCCTTTTGAGAGAGGCAGAACCGCATCTGCGGATCTGGCCATCTTGTGCACATCTCGATCCAAGGGTGATTCCCCCGCTCTGAAGGCGCGCTTTCGAAACAAGGGCACTTGATCAGAAAGCAGCGAGCCAGCCATTTGAGTCTGTGGGTCAAAACCAATGGGATCCCATTTTGGGGTGGGCGCACCACCCATTTTAGTCTATTTTAGTGGGGATTGGGATGTTCACTGGGGGACGGGATTTTGACCCATGGCCATTTGAGTCTGTGTGTGTGTGTGCTTGTTGAGGATATCGTTTTGGAGGGTTGGCTAAAAGCGACACCGAAGGGAAACCAGGAGCCCCAATTGTAGGGTTCTCCTAGATGTCCCACGCCTGGTCTGTGACCCTTTCAAAAATCTACCCTTCCTCCCACTAACCGTCCCTCCAAGAGGAAGTTGATCTTCCGGGCACCTCTCCACAGATGCTGTGTTCGTGGGAGGAAGGGTCGCAGTTTGCCAAGTGGGGAACAGTCCTTTTCAACCGGCAACCGTCAAACAGGCTCCCTATATTTCCCCTTAAAACATCACCCCCACCAAGGGATACTCACCTTTCATAGGCCAAAAAGGTGATGTTTAAAACCACCAACAAGGGAAATATACGGACCCCTGTCAAACCGTCAAACCCCTTCAAGGACAACAACGCTCGACCCCCAAAACCGAGGCCCTGGACCCGGCTTCAGCCGCTTCGAAGAGATTCGAGCTGCGCCCGCCTTGCCGCCAAAACGCGTTTTTGCGGCGAAGGCGCGGCGGCCGAAAGCAAAGGGCCGGGGCCAAGCTGCTCCATGCAGGCGACGGCATCTGCAAGCCGACCCGATCGACCCGGCAGGTTTCATGCTTTGCTTTTGCTTGGAGAGTTGAGCATACCATCCGAACAAACTGATCTGTGGTCTACAGCTTGTTGAGCTTTTGAAAATGAAGGATTCTGCTGTGCCCAAAGCAACTTGCTTCGCCCATGGACATTTGTGTGTGTGTGTGTGTGTGCGTTTGTTTGTGCTTTTTTGGGGGGACCCCGCAAAATGGTTGGTGGCCCTCTTGGCTTCCCTTCAAAACGGCGAAGGGCAGATACCCTCAAAAAAGGACAGGCCCATTTGGTTCTAGGCAGATGGATGACTCGAAGCCGCGCCATTTGCCATGAGCTTCAAAGGAAGGGCCCAAGCAAAAGCAGCCGAGTGGCTTCAGCTGCCACGTCACAAGATGCTTTTCCAAGGCTGGGTTGGGGGAGGGTCTAGGTTTGAGTCACTGGTCAAGAAATGCCAGTGTGATTTTGATGTACTATCTTGAACAGCTGCTTGAACGGTGAAACGCTCCGCACGGAACCCTGCAGTTCAACAATGTTCAACACACTGCCACGCGCTGCAAAGAGGATCGCCTCAGCGAAATGCTTCGGGACATCTGCGAATGCATGCCCTCAGGCCCTGGCCGAATCCTCCGCCTGACAGACGGAAAAAATGAGGAAAAAAGAAAAAAACAAAAAAAAAGAACGTCGCACGCACCCCCTGCCCCGAGCCCCATCAAGCCCAGACCTCATGTGGAGGGGAAAAAATCACTGCTGAGTAACTGACCTTGAAGGGATGCCTTGTCTTTAGGAGAAAAACGTACTGGAGGGCAGAGGTATGAGCAAATGGCGCCAGTGCACAGGCACACGATGGATATTTTGGAAGGTGTGTCAGCATCTTGTCTCTGCCGTCCACCATTCCATGACCCCATTGGGCCGTAACCTAGCGCCGCCGGTCCGAAACTGGAACAAAGCCAGAGCAACCAGTTCAGCTGAGGCAAACCGGAGGCAAACTCTGACTACGGAACTTGGTGCAGCGTGCAGCCCCTTGCTCTCACTTCTTATTCTCCAAGGTCGCAACCAGCTCGCTCTGGCGGCGCATCTGCAAGATCTGCTGCAGGACAAAGAGCACGACGAGGACGTAGCTCACCGGGTTCTTCGCCAGGTACTCCTTCAACACGCCAACCAGCTTCTCCACCTGCGGTGTCGCAAGCGTGCCGATCGCCAAGCTAATGCCCATGATGATCGCACCCACGGATGTGCTGCGGATGAACTTCGCTGGCTGGAAGAAGTCCCCAAAGGACTGTCTTCGGTCTGCCGGTTGCAGGCAATAGCCCCGCAGCTCATTGCCGGGCGCGGACAGGACGCAAGCCGCTACCACTGTGGTGAACATGTTCACCACTCGGCCAAGCATGGAGTTCGCAAAGGTGGGGTTGATGGCAATAAGCAGGGCAGACACCTGGTTGCGCGCGATGCCATAGATGATGTCCCGCAGCACTGTGGGCGGGTAGGCCTGGTACAGATTCCCAGGCGTCACCGGCAGGTTCATGGACTTTCTGAATCGGTAGTTCGTGATGGGCAGGGTGATGGTGCAGAAGACGGATCCAAGGGCAGCCCCTCTGAGAGTCGGAGGCAAGTCGATGCCTTGCATGATGATGTTGGTCGCCTCAAAGAAGGGGAACTTGATGAAGTTCGTGGCCAAGGTCGTGTTCAGGTAGCTCCTGATCTTGTTGGGGTCCAGCTCTTTCACTGCCTGCCCCAGGGTGGCGCGGTTCACCAACATGTTGTTCACCAACGGCTCTGTCACCGCACTCAGCGAAGCCGCCACCACTGCCCCCACCGCGCCCTGAGACGCGGCGCCGATCACGCGGCCCATGAAATCCTGTTGCGACATGGCGCCCAAAACGAAGGCTGAGAACAATCTAGTCAGCTGAAAGCCAAACTCTCTGCAAGTCACAAGTGCCGAAGTGTGTCAGGGGCTCACAAATGGGATCCTGGGCTCATTTCCGCGCGCTGGGAGTTTGTTCCAGAACGCCGTCCCGGCAGCCGTATCAGCAGCGGTGCAGTGGTCCGCTACGAGCCACTGCTGTCCAAACTCCGAGATCGACCCAAAAGCAACAGGTGCACTCCCATAGGATGCAGCCAAGATGGCCAGAATCTTTCGAAGCCATCAAGATGTCAGAAACCTATACAAGTACACATTCTGGCAAGTCCCAGACTTGCCTCAAGCACCTAGCACTTTGCCTTTGCATCTGGCGCAATGGCCAGTCTGCCACCCTGGCTGCGAACTGCGTCGACCAGCTCGCTCTGGCGGCGCATCTGCAAGATCTGCTGCAGGACAAAGAGCACGACGAGGACGTAGCTCACCGGGTTCTTCGCCAGGTACTCTTTCAACACGCCAACCAGCTTCTCCACCTGCGGTGTCGCAAGCGTGCCGATCGCCAAGCTAATCCCCATGATGATCGCACCCACGGATGTGCTGCGGATGAACTTCGCGGGCTGGAAGAAGTCCCCAAAGGACTGTCTTCGGTCTGCCGGTTGCAGGCAATAGCCCCGCAGCTCATTGCCGGGCGCGGACAGGACGCAAGCCGCTACCACGGTGGTGAACATGTTCACCACTCGGCCAAGCATGGAGTTCGCAAAGGTGGGGTTGATGGCAATAAGCAGGGCAGACACCTTGTTCCGCGCGATGCCATAGATGATGTCCCGCAGCACTGTGGGCGGGTAGGCCTGGTACAGATTCCCAGGCGTCACCGGCAGGTTCATGGACTTTCTGAATCTGTAGTTCGTGATGGGCAGGGTGATGGTGCAGAAGACGGATCCAAGGGCAGCCCCTCTGAGAGTCGGAGGCAAGTCGATGCCTTGCATGATGATGTTGGTCGCCTCAAAGAAGGGGAACTTGATGAAGTTCGTGGCCAAGGTCGTGTTCAGGTAGCTCCTGATCTTGTTGGGGTCCAGCTCTTTCACTGCCTGCCGCAGGGTGGCGCGGTTCACCAACATGTTGTTCACCAACGGCTCTGTCACCGCACTCAGCGAAGCCGCCACCACTGCCCCCACCGCGCCCTGAGACGCGGCGCCGATCACGCGGCCCATGAAATCCTGTTGCGACATGGCGCCCAAAACGAAGGCTGATCTAGCAGGGAGAAGAGCACCTGATGGCTGCCCTCGACGTTGAAATCGAAGGATCACTGCCTGAGGGGATGGTTCGGAAAAGCGGGGCAGCTGTGTATTCACTGCCTGAGTGGACTTTCCGGACCAAGCACGAACTGCACGCTTTACATTGAGATGTCAATCAGTGTCATTTATTCGCATCTGCCCAACTGACTCGGACGGCTTGCACCAACCTCCTTCTTTTTGTCCAAGGAGTGTGTCAGCATGGAATCCTGCTGTCCGTCTCCCCGGGAAACAACGGCTCATCAGCCAGCAACCTCCACACTATGCTTGTGAAGCGGTTGTGCCAGCTTCATGCAAGCATGTGAAAGCTATCTGTTCCCCTCCACTGCTACAGCCAAGCAGCACTGCCATGCTGTTCAGGGAATGTACTGGCACTGAGGCCTCATGCCTGCAGCCCCTTACTCTCACTTCTTATTCTCCAAGGTCGCAACCAGCTCGCTCTGGCGGCGCATCTGCAAGATCTGCTGCAGGACAAAGAGCACGACGAGGACGTAGCTCACCGGGTTCTTCGCCAGGTACTCTTTCAACACGCCCACCAGCTTCTCCACCTGCGGTGTCGCAAGCGTGCCGATCGCCAAGCTAATGCCCATGATGATCGCACCCACGGATGTGCTGCGGATGAACTTCGCTGGCTGGAAGAAGTCCCCAAAGGACTGTCTTCGGTCTGCCGGTTGCAGGCAATAGCCCCGCAGCTCATTGCCGGGCGCGGACAGGACGCAAGACGCTACCACTGTGGTGAACATGTTCACCACTCGGCCAAGCATGGAGTTCGCAAAGGTGGGGTTGATGGCAATAAGCAGGGCAGACACCTTGTTCCGCGCGATGCCATAGATGATGTCCCGCAGCACTGTGGGCGGGTAGGCCTGGTACAGATTCCCAGGCGTCACCGGCAGGTTCATGGACTTTCTGAATCTGTAGTTCGTGATGGGCAGGGTGATGGTGCAGAAGACGGATCCAAGGGCAGCCCCTCTGAGAGTCGGAGGCAAGTCGATGCCTTGCATGATGATGTTGGTCGCCTCAAAGAAGGGGAACTTGATGAAGTTCGTGGCCAAGGTCGTGTTCAGGTAGTTCCTGATCTTGTTGGGGTCCAGCTCTTTCACTGCCTGCCCCAGGGTGGCGCGGTTCACCAACATGTTGTTCACCAACGGCTCTGTCACCGCACTCAGCGAAGCCGCCACCACTGCCCCCACCGCGCCCTGAGACGCGGCGCCGATCACGCGGCCCATGAAATCCTGTTGCGACATGGCGCCCCAAAATACGTACGCAGCTGTTCACCGCTTGAGTGGATTCCTGTGAATAGGCCTGTGAATGTTCAAGTTGGTTCGCATCCCTTCCTCCCCCCTCGAAAAAAAGAAAGGAATCGTGTTGCATGTTCAAACCGGGAGGAGCAAAGGCATCGATGTGTGCATCAACTAACGCCAATGGCAATCATTGGCTAAGCACACCTGAAATACTTCACATGGCATGACCTGCCTGGCCTGCCTAAGACCCCAAGGTCGAGCCCAGTCGCTCCCTGCCTCTCTCTCTCCCTCTCTCTCGCTCTCTCTCTCGCTTTGTGGCCCCTTTTGCTCAAGGAGTGTGTCAGCAGCATGGAATCCTGCTGTCCGTCTCCCCGGGAAACAACGGGTCATCAGCCAGCAACCTCCACACGATGCGTGTGAAGCGGTTGTGCACAGCTTCATGCAAGCATGTGAAAGCTATCTGTTCCTCTCAACTGCTACAGCCAAACGGCACTGCCATGCTGTCCAGGGAATGTACTGGCACTGAGGCCTCATGCCTGCAGCCCCTTACTCTCACTTCTTATTCTCCAAGGTCGCAACCAGCTCGCTCTGGCGGCGCATCTGCAAGATCTGCTGCAGGACAAAGAGCACGACGAGGACGTAGCTCACCGGGTTCTTCGCCAGGTACTCTTTCAACACGCCCACCAGCTTCTCCACCTGCGGTGTCGCAAGCGTGCCGATCGCCAAGCTAATGCCCATGATGATCGCACCCACGGATGTGCTGCGGATGAACTTCGCTGGCTGGAAGAAGTCCCCAAAGGACTGTCTTCGGTCTGCCGGTTGCAGGCAATAGCCCCGCAGCTCATTGCCGGGCGCGGACAGGACGCAAGACGCTACCACTGTGGTGAACATGTTCACCACTCGGCCAAGCATGGAGTTCGCAAAGGTGGGGTTGATGGCAATAAGCAGGGCAGACACCTGGTTGCGCGCGATGCCATAGATGATGTCCCGCAGCACTGTGGGCGGGTAGGCCTGGTACAGATTCCCAGGCGTCACCGGCAGGTTCATGGACTTTCTGAATCTGTAGTTCGTGATGGGCAGGGTGATGGTGCAGAAGACGGATCCAAGGGCAGCCCCTCTGAGAGTCGGAGGCAAGTCGATGCCTTGCATGATGATGTTGGTCGCCTCAAAGAAGGGGAACTTGATGAAGTTCGTGGCCAAGGTCGTGTTCAGGTAGTTCCTGATCTTGTTGGGGTCCAGCTCTTTCACTGCCTGCCCGAGGGTGGCGCGGTTCACCAACATGTTGTTCACCAACGGCTCT